AACCACCTGGCCATGCCGGGCCTCAAGATTTAAATAATTACATCATTGATCGCACACTGAACTTTAAAGTTTTCAATAAAATAGAAACTTTCAGTTATAAACCTTCCATTCCGAAATATGAATATTCCAAACAACTTATGTTACAAATGTTTACTACTCTCAGCTTATTAGATGCTCTAGAATTTGTTCATCATTACAAGATTTTGCGAATAGAGCTCGTAAATTCACTCGGAGTTTTCATAATTAGGGTCTCTCTTTGCAAACATTAATCAAACATTTCATTCAATGATCTGGATAATTGAACAATATTCTTGCGAAACACTATAGGGTTTAGAATTTTCACAGAGTATTACAAACTCCAAAACATTTCCACTTCTACTCGCCGAACCCTTGGGATGTAGGATGTTGTTTGGATAACAGTAAAAGGATTTCTTGTATTGATCACAATTGTTTTTACCTCCTGCTAATTTAACTTCTGGTTATGAATACATAAAACTAGCTATATAACAGTTGGGTATACGACATTACGTTATCTGTTAAGCTACTATAATTTTTTCGCATTAATTTCATCGTGACATTTATGACTGTTGTAACTTTCCTTTATAAGTTATTATTACTGTTAATCTTCCTCGCATTTACACTTGACTTTTTACAGAAGATTCATCTTTATTTATCAACAAGTTGAGCAATAATTAAAATTATTATATTAATTAGTGAACGCTCGTGTAGAAAAAGGTATTAAACGAAATAACGCGAGTAGTAAGATTTATAACATACCAACATTTTCCAGAATGAAGAACGTTGTATTAAAAGAGTTGATAATGCTTAGTTACTAGTTCGAGTAAATAACGATTCGATTGGTTATCCATGTGTTACAGTGTCGTTTATTGGAGCTGTGATATAGTTACAGAGGGCGTAGCTATCTCTACAACTGTGGATGTCTGTGAAGACAGATATTTAACACACTAGAGGGCTGAACGCTAGAGTTTTTTATGTTTTGTAGCTAAAATATACTATATCCTTCCTTCGTAACAACTTTTGTTATAGGTAATGGCGAAAATATTTAATATATCTTGTTTTATGTTATGCATTATACTTTAGTTATAAAGATGGTTTTGCATTGTTAGCTTAGAACATGTATTTAGAACTAATCTAAATTTCTTAAGATGACCAAACATCAGGAGATATTATTGGGTTTACGGCCAAAAATATCATTAACAGTGAGAATACCCAACTGATGAAACAATGTATTCTAATCTTTATAAGTTCATATGAACGATACAAGTATATATTTAATTAGCTATACTAACAACCAGATTGATTTTTTGAGTTTAGCTCTAAGTATACAGCTTACTGTGATCGGAAGTTATTATAAATAAAATTGAAAAAGTTTTAAGGTATGCATCCAAATTTTTAATTCATAGCAATATTTTGCTATACTCTGGATCACTTTACATACGATACACTGGCCGTCCGATGGTAGAATGGATGTGTAATTACGTCTTTAATATACCAAATAGTAATCCAGACAAGTTTTAGCAAAATATATCAACCAACATGACCAAAACGTCCCCAGAATACTAACCTAGTCACTACACTTTATTAATCCTAAAACAAGATGATGAAAACGAGCTAATCGACTGACTTAGCATTATCTACTCAAATGAAACGAACGGAAGATTATTTTATTTCTATAAATTTATTTTATATGTATCTATTTTTAAGTTAAATGTTTTTAGCTTTACTCGCCAGAGGGAACTAACACTCGAACACGGATAAGTCATCTGACAATGATGCGTCGTTTTCTTTTAGCAGTCTTTACCTTTGGCACAAAGCTACGCAATGAGCTAGCTATATGCACATTATCCACCGTAGGAATCGAACCCTAGATTTAAGCATTGTAGGTTCGTAAACTTACCACTGATCCACAGAGGGACATCTTATAACTAAATGATAAACCATAATCCTATATTAATTTCATAGAAACTTTAATATTCCTTATTTTCAACTAATCTCTGTATAAATTAAATTATCTTTCGAATCAAGCACATGCTTCATTAATTTGTTTTTTATTTTTGTACGTTAATCGTTTAGAACAATGCACGTATTAGTTATTTGAATTAATTTAATTAACCTTACGAATATGTAATGGTTTTGAAATTTGTTCTCAAGTGTCTTTCAGTTCGTAATTCGAAATACCAAACACACACAATTCAATATAAATATATGTACCTCCTGTAGACCTAACTTCCACTAATAGTACGTCATCCTTTAGTCCAAGCTTATCAGCTGCACTGCGTTTAATGGTCTCAGCAGTGGCTGCAGTTGGTGTCTTTAAAGTAGTGTAAGTTTGGTCAGCACGATAGACTCGAAAAATAACTGAAAAATATACACATACATGTATTTGAAGGTAATTTGGAAACTATTTAAATGTCTCAAAAGAGATCGTATAGTCATTACCTTTATTATATTATATAGTCTTTATTAAAATCACCCTTCAAATTTATTTAATAAAACGTCAACTTAAAACTAAGTATTTATTCAAATCACCCTTCAAATTTATTTAATAAAACGTCAACTTAAAACTAAGTATTTATTCAAATCACCCTTCAAATTTATTTAATAAAACGTCAACTTAAAACTAAGTATTTATTCAAATTTATATAAAAAATCATGCCAACTTTAAGAAACTTAAAAGGCTGATCATTTTAAAATAAGAAAATATCCTTATAGTAAAAATAATAGAATCAGCTGCTGGCAGACAGTAACATCAGAAAAAACACAGTTCTCAGTTTGATCATTGCGAGATGTTTATTTTCGGACTTACTTTCATCTGTGGATTTGATTGGTTGTCTATCTTCGTCTTCGTCTTCCTCTGCAGAGCCGCTGGAGGTTAGCCGTTCTAGTTGACCGCTGTTTGATATCTTCCACCGCTGGGAAGCGCTACTTGCCAAGTCGACCTGAAATCTTCAATTATTGTCAGTAGCTTTTTAGGATACAACATTTTCCTTGTTTTCTGAACTTTTAAACTCAATTTCGTCATTTTTTGAACATGGAATTGACTTTAAAGCTTTTTTTTTCATTTCTTATTTTAACGAAAAACGAATCCTGACTTGAGATCGATTTGCTTTGTTTTTGTTTGTAGTTTGTTTGTTTGTAATTAAGCATCAAACTAGA